AAAAAAAAAAAAAAAAAAAAGGAAAAACTTTTCTTACTGTAGCTTCTCTTTAATTCAAAATTTTTTTCTCTTTTTTATTATTACTTTAGAACACTGTACTACCGCAAAAATAATATTTATGCTACACTAAAACTAAAAAGAAAAGAAGCCTCAAACTGCAATTATAGTTATCTGAATTGTTCAGATGGCTCTATCAAAGCTTTAGTCTTTATTACAGTTTTACATTACTTTCGCAATTGTCGTACAGAACATTTGTCTAGCAAATTAAGTTTAATTTTTGAGACGTAACTAAACAGCAACCAGTGACATTTATTTCTGCCAAACAATTATTTTCTTGTAGTGCTACAATAAAATCAACGTATACTTTTCAAAAAAAAAAAATTGATTCTATCTTTTGTCTGATGTCAAGAACTCTGTAGAACAGCATCTGTACAACAGTAACAGTTGATGATCGTCTAGAAAACCAAAGATTTTTTATATTTTTATGCTAATTTGTAGAACACCAATATTATATGCTTTTTGTGGGTTTGCCGTAGAATTGAATTTCATATTTGGTCGATAATTCCAATTGTTCAATTTTTTTGACGAAAATTATTTGACAAGCAACAGTAACCTGCTGTATATCAGTCAAATGTAACAACAACCGCTAAAATTTTTTTGAGCCAATATAGTTGTTTCATGAAATTATTTAATGCAAATATACTTTGTCGTAAATTTCAATCAAAAAAAAAAACTTTTTGATAAAAATTACTCCTTTATTTTATGCACTCAAAAATACTTGTTGAATTTTTGTTAACAATATTAGCGATAGAATGAATGTTTTCGGTCTGTACTTCAGCATTTCTTTGAAACCTTTTGACAACTTGATAAATATTCATGTGTTTCATCAGTGTTTTTCAATTCATCAATTGGTAACAAAGCTCCCGGTTACCCCTTCGCCCTGTTGATTTGTGTAACAGATATCTGAGAACAACCAAATTCCGCCTTCAAATTACAACACCAGTTATTGTTCAACTGATAAGATAAATGTAATTTGCCATCCAAAACTGTGGCAGAATACTGCAGAGAAAAAGCACATACAATATTTTCAGCTTTATTTTTTTTATTTTTTATTTATTTTTTTTATAAAAGCTGATTGGAAATTTACAAAGCAAAGTGAAAATAATTGAAATAAAGACTGTTTAAATAGTACAATCACAAAACAAATTGACCTTATAACAGACAAACAAAAGTTTACAAGTTTATATCGTTAATGCTGTCCGCAACAACAACATGAATTTTCTTTTTAATAATTTTTGTCTATAATTAAATAATAAAAAAATTCATAAGTGTTCAAAAAGGAAAATAGTAATTGTTCAAATAATTTTGATGAATGAAATGAGCATTAACGCTAGACAGTGGCACAAATCGGCAGTTATTCTGCTTTCCCTTTCTTTTGTTCTCTTCCAAAAAACAATTGAGAAGCTAAATGTTAAACTTAATGCTTAAGAATCATATAATATTGATAAACAGGATCATTTGCAGAAGCTGTTGGTGCTGTTTGTCCTGCTTGTTCTTCTGGTTGTTGTTCCTCTTCGGTTGCTGGTTCGGCTTCTTCTGCATCAGGGTCATCAGCATCTGTTGCTGACACTGGTTCACGTGGAATAAGAATAGCTTGAACTGGTTTTTGTACGAACAGTGGTTTCTCAACAGTTTCTGGTTCTGCTGAAAGACCAGGAACCACTATCGGTTGTTTATCCAGAAAGTCAACACCCGGTACATTTTTGATGTGTTTTCGGTCCAAAATTTGTCGGTCATGCGTGTATCGGTATCCTGGTTCATAATGGTGTACGTCCGAAACCTGATACCTGAAAATAAAATATTTTAGAAAAAAAACAGTTTATATAACTGCTAAAATATAAACTATTTCAAAGATAATATTGTCAATAAAAACATTACTGCTTTTATCAAAATGTTGTTGTAACTTTTTTGATTACAGTTATAAGAAAATGTCCTGCTATTTGGCTAAATTTGGATAACTCAGTTTCAAAAAGAAAGACATTTTTTACCTTTTATGGATGCCAGGGCCATTCATATCATCATCGTCTCCGTTTGCCCGAGCAAAATACAGGCAAGCAGAAAGGCAAATAAAGGTCAAAGCATTCATCTGCAACAGAAGACATATAAAAAGATTGCCATTAGGTGCGGATATATACAGTGATTAAATCAGCGATCATAAGATACACAGTGTTCATCGTTGTTTATTTTAACATAGCAGTGACAAAATTTTATATAGAGAATACTTAGAGAGCAAAAGAAAGCTTATATCAGATCCACATTTAACCAAAATAGTTTTTTTTTTTTGTTTTTAAGAGACTTCTTGTATTACTAAGAGCTAAAATGACAGTGTTTACTTACGAACACTCACAGACACATAGAGACACGAAAGAAAATTGAAAATAGAACAAAATTTACAACCATATAGTGGTGTGAAGATTTACTCTTTTTATACAGCATAGGCGGAACCTTATTGTCATCAAGAAGAAGTTTTACGCTTCCAACTGATACTGGTTTCTCGGCTGCTGTGCTCGTCCAGTGCATGAACAGTCCATGCGAACTCCATCTATCATCATGCACTTTTTGGAGCAACAGAACACACCGTATCGACAAATCAAATTTGCGCTTTTCTTGAATCACACACACAGATGCGCACATACAGAATTAACTTTTCGGACGACAACTTATTACATCAACATACGTTTTCTTAATGTGTTTAATTATAAATTAAACATAATAGAAACAAAAACAAAAGCAATAACAAAGAAGAAACTTTTATTTTTAAAATTAAAACAACTTATTTATTATTGTACGTCTAAAATCATAATATTTTTTTTTTGTTCATTAGGCAGTTTTAACAAAAAATTAAAGACAGAGAAATTTAATTGAATATATACAAACAAATTACAAATTACTGTTTACACAACTTTTAAAAGTAAAGCCTTTTGTTTTTTTTCTTTAAAAGTGAGCAAAAAAAAAGTATACTTTATACATTTACTTCTTGGCTTGAGAAGTAATTGCTGTACAAACAATCACACAATTCAACTACAGTATCCCTTTCTCAAAGGCCTTCAAATATATTTTGGGCAAAGTCAATTCTTTAATTAATTCTACACAAAAAAAAATTTTTTTTCTTTAACATTACTCATTCATAGACACCTTTTATGACATCATTACTCAGCGATATTTGAGAAGGCTTATCAATTATCAGTCATAAGCGAAGTGTGAAATTTGCTTAAACGCAACTTTTAGTGAGAACGGTAAAATCGGCATTATTAACACTGTTGAAAAATTTTTTTTTTTTGCTTTACACTTTTTCCTCAAAAATAAATGCATTTTTTGCATTGTTTTTAATTTCTTCTCTTTTTTGTGAGAGAAAAAAGAGCTTAGATAGATAAGCAAAATTCAACGTTTGGTAAAAGTATTGTCTTTTTTTTTTTTTGTTTTGCTTTGTCGCATGTTTTTTCCACCTTTTAATCGACTGTTAAAGAGACAAACTGGCTGTTATAAGTAAGCATCCATATGTTAAAAGATTTGCTGTAAAAAAAAAAATTCAATTTTATTACTTCCCATCAAAAAGATCATCTTTTTTTTGTCATTTTTCGCCCACTCTTTCTTTTTTAATAGCATAAAAGTTTTTTTTTTAAATACAGAAGAAAAAAATTAGAAGTGAGAAACAAAATGAAAAAAAGAGATAGTTCTGTTTCAAAACAATAAATTATAACAGCTTGCAGTACAAAAAAAAGAAAATTCAAATTTTGATCTTCTTTTCTTCTTAGCTTTATTGGTACTTACGAGGTCAAAGAAGGAATAGCGCAAACCAAATAAAAAGAGGAGGAAAGACAAAAATTTATTCATATATCAATTATTTTAGTGTTTTAAAAACTAAAAAAAAGTTTTTTTCAATGTTTTTATAATATTGTTAACTGTTTCTTTCTTCTGATAGGTAAAACCATAATTTTTTTTTAAAAATCTGATGAGAAACAGACAGCCTTTAACAGTAACAAATATTTTTGTGTAACAATCGGTCAATCAGTCTATAAAACAAAAAAATTCTTAATTTTAAATCAAATTCAAAACTGATAAATTTACTGTTTATTTTTTGTGCCACAATTCTTCAGTTTAAAAAAACTATCCAACAGTTTCTTTCATGTTTCTTATAAAAATGTCAAAGATTACTTTTTAACCTGATATAGTATCAAAGTTCTAAGATCTTTACTTCTTATAATTAGTACAATAATTTTTTCTACCCTTTGATTGTTTTTATTTTTTTTACACTTATTATACACTTTATACATACATATTTATATTTATGTATATATATACTAAATTGTCTTCGTATGTTATTTAATAAAACAATAATTGTCGTAATTGTGTTCTTTGGCTAATTTTCTTTTTTTTTTTTTTCATCAGACTTAGAGCTGTCAACCAACGGTTCATACAAGTTTAATGAACTTAAAGTCTAAACACATCTGTTACGCTAAAAAACTGGTAGAAGAAAAAGAGAAGAAATTTTTATTTCCTCTTGTCTAATTGTTTGTTCAATTAGATTTAGAAGAAAGCTTATTAACAATCAGAGAACAGCAAAAACTTCCTTTTTTTTGAAATAAAAGTTTTATATGAACGGGTACAAAAACTATAACCAAAAAAAAGCACCTAAATGACAACCAATTAAACTGTTGTTTAAACCTTTTCAAAAATGTGATGTCACTCAAAACATCAAAAAAAATTTTTTATAAATTTATTTGATTCTTATGATTAAAGCAGTATTTACAATTAACTGTAAGTCTTAGACAATAACAGGATTACTTGCAACAAACATAGCGCAAGATTATTTTATTATTACTCACAACCTATTGCAGATGTGCAACAAATA